GTGTTTTCATTTCACTCAAGAGTACTCAGTCACTCAATAGGAATAAGAAACAAAAACGACCTCATGGTACAAATAATGTGCTAAAGAGCATTATACCTATTGATTCTTTTGTTTAATATGTAGAATTATGTGAACAGAGATGTGGTCTGTTCTCACCATTCTTGCTGCTGGTTCCATTAAAATATTGCTGTTTGTTTATGGGGAAAAAGAAAACCCACTCAGTAATGGGCATTTCCCATTATAGCTACAATTTTCCCTCAAAACTTTTTCCTGGTTTTCAGTTTCTTTACAAGACAATACTGAAGTATTTTAATACTTCCCAAGACTTCAGTCTCTATTTTTTTTTTTTTGTTTTGTTTTAAATAGAGATAGAAAATTAAGACCAAAAAATTGGTGCATTTTAAACAATTTATTTAAAATATCTGGCTTTAATACCATCAGTATTCTGCAAACTTTGTACTAAACAGCTTGAGACTAATAGTTGAAGAATTTTACACTATTAACTCATACTCTAGTCATGTTACCTTTGACTGGATATTAAAATTCTTGAGTACAATCATCTATACTGAATTTTGAGTTATGTACATGGGGGGAGACAGTCTTTAATGCACTTGTGCATATGCAGTTGACTAATACCATTGAGTAACAAGATCTTGGAGTTACCACAGGTAATTCTGTGAAAATATCATTTCAGTCCTCAACAGTATTTAAGCAATGTATCTGCCTCAAGGATAGACTGTGCTGCTCTAGTCCCTTAGTGTCAGAACAGATATAGTAAAACTAGAAAACTTGAAGATGAAAGTAATGTGGATGATCAAATAAATCAACCTGGTATCTCTGAGAATAAAGACTAAATAGATGAAGATTTCAGTCTTCTAAAAGAACTGAGAAAGGGATGTTATACATAGAGATCTACAAAATCTTGAGTACCCTGGAGAACTTGAGTAGGGAATGACAGTCTAGTCTCTTCTAAAGAAGATATACTTCAATACAAGACTTACAATGTGCTGCTTTTGCCAAATTAAGTTGAAGGTTGAATTTAACAAGGCTTATGTATTTGGGGCAGTCAGCCATAATAGCATGGAATCTGCTTCAGTCTCGTTAGTTGTCTTGTAAAGATTTATAGTGATGGCATTCTTTTAGTGAACCACAGGTACTAAAAATAACTTTTAAATAATTTTATTTAAAGGCTAATGGTTCCTATTTGGTATGTCTGAGTTAAAATAGTTTTTAAATGGATGCAGGAAAACAATTTTAAATAACTCTTATGAAGATAAAGTAGCTACTCAAGTCAGTCATTCAAAAGAAGCCATTCAAGGATATTCCTTCAAATGGGCAAACCAATGAATGTTAATTAAATCCAAGACTAAACACTACTATTTCTCTCATTACTAATGCAGTTCAGTAGGTCTGCAATGTAATAGGTGATGTCCCATTAGTAAAGGAGATGTCAGCCGGATTTCTGTAACTCTGTGACACTCACGGCCTGCGTACCTCGTTACAAAGGTGGTCACGTACTACAGAATAATTAGGGAGATACATTTCTTGCAGAGAAAACCTGGATATGCTACTTTCTTTGTAACCTAGGCAGGAGAGGTCATTTGCAGCTTCAAGGACTGTAAAAGTTCTCTAGAGAGGAAGCGGCTGGAATGTACCAGTGCTTACAAGTAGGAAGTAGTGGCATATTGCCTTTGAGAGTTTAAGTGTATCAATTTAGTGGAAACCATGAATTTTGTGAGCATATGTCAATGTTATTGGTGATGGAAGACCATCAAATCCATAAATCCACTTTTATTTTAAGTGACATGGAACATTCTCTTCCACAGAAATACATAATTTTCACAATTTTAAAGTTCTGAAAATTTGTTACTATTTCCAATTGCAGTGTTAATAGAAGTAATTCTGAGAAAAATAAAAGGTGTAAACTCTGGTATGGCTTGATAATCTAATCTACATGCTAAAGTATGTTTTGTGTGCTTGGATGGCTGGGGTTTTTTTGTTTGGGTTTTTCTGTGGTGTGTTTTTTGTTTGTTTGATTTATTTGTTTGTTTTTTAATGTGATTGTATGACTGTTACATTACAGGGCTTGACAATCCTGGGGTCCCTTCCATCCCGCTCTTCATAATGTAGACAACTCAATTGGCTGTAAGAGTCTGCGATGAGCAGTGTAGTTAGGGATGAGAACAGAGTGCACCGCTCATTCAAATCAGAGATTTATAATCCTTTTCTGTGACTTTATGCCAGGAGGAAAAATCTTTTGTCAGTCTTCACTGGATTTGAAATTGGCTGTTGTTACCCTTTATCAACTCAGTACTTTTATGGGTTGCTTTGGTTGGCAATTTTGGCTTAGGAACACACAAGCTATTCTGGTGTATACAACATGATTCTAATTTTTCTTCCTTCTTGATGGTTATTAATTCCACCTTTTTCAGGAAATCCCAGTTGAAACTGCAATGTATCTAAGTATCTCTACTTTCTTTTTTTTTAAGTTCTCAATAAATAATTTAAGCTCAAATACTGCCTTGTCCTAAAATTTTAGTATAGCAATTTGAAAAAACACAGTCATAAAGAAATTAGCTTAACTATTTTCTATTTAAGTCTCAAATTAAAATTAATATATATGCTTTCTAGTTAAGTCTCCAAGTAACGTTAAAACCCAAGTAAGTGCATTATGTTAGCATTGGTAAGCAGTCACGGTATCAAATGATGTTCCTTTATGTGATTCTTACTCGATTTCCATAATGTTGTTAATAAGCTATCATATGAAACTTGCATATGCATGCAAGAAAGTTAAAAGGGCACACCTCATCAAAGTTTACACAACTTCAAATATGTAATCAATTAAATGCTTTCATTTTCAAGAGGGTACATGTATTTGAAGGTACTAGAAAGTGTAGAAAACATTATCTGTTGTTTTTTTCTAAAATTTATCTGAGATTATCCCTTTCAAAATGGTTACAAAAAAGTTAGTTTTAATAAGAATTTTTGCTATGTGGAAAAAAATGGGAAGACAGTCTTTAATAACAAGCTTCATGGCCTTGTTGACATCTCTAATGTATCTATTGTTCCTTTTTGTGTGCTATATTAAAATTTTTAAGATTTTGAAATGTTTCAAGAGAAGTATATTGCAAAACCATTGTTTACTTCTAAAAATAAATAAAATAAAATTGGCTTCTGCCTAAGCCAGTTGATATCTCGTGACAGATTTGTATGTCCTACTGTGATAAATACATTTTGCTGATAGTTTACTTTTGGCTGTAATAGTTCTTTTTACAATCTAGTTATAGTATGTTACGCAATGGTATTAAAACTCTTCTGAGGTAGTCTGTATAAAGTATGATCTATTATTATTAACTAGCAGTTAAAACGTATAGACACATCTTTCAAAAACAGAGATAAAACAGATAAACACGAAATACAGATTTTCAGCTTCTACAACTCAACACTTATGTCTGCTTCTGTCAATTTGCTAAATAACAGAAGCTTCCTTTTTTATTAGCCTAATATTTCAGTTAAAAAAGTAATGTAACAATGTACACTATTGTCTGTTTTTTGAGCTTAAGTCTTTTCTACACAGTAACAGTTAACAGCAGAAAATGATTCTACTTTCACCTGCAATCATTGCACTTCATTGTGTGGTGTAAATATGTCTGTAGATTTAGGAAGGAGATATTTTTTCATGGAATTCTTTCTTTGTGGACTTGCACGCAATACTAGAAAAACCCTCTCTCTCCTAAGAGACTGTGGGAAGTAGATTTGTTATAGTCTCAAAGATACCTGTTATATTTAGTCTCAAGTTATCCATTAGATTTGTCATAGCAAGAGTACTTGTCTGAGCAACAAAAATTAGGAATGGAAATGTTATTTAATTTATCGTTTTTCATTGCTAGTTAGGCTTTGAATGACATGTTTTTTTCCTTAAAATGAAAAAAAATCAAATACTGAATTAACACGTGGGGTTTGGGATGTGTGTGGGTTTTTTTGTTTGTTTTTTTTTCCCCAAATCAGAACCATTCTTTCCTCCTTTACACAACTGGATGCACAAATTAATTTTTTTTTATGGAGTATTTTAGGACTCAAAGTATTCAGATTATCTTTAAGATCACTTGAGGGAGAGATCGCAGTTCCCGGGCGGTGATTTTTGGTTTTTGGAAAGACCTGATTTGTTGCAGATTTACAGAAAATGTTATTTAAAGTTGTGGAGATTTGAGAGGAACAGAATTTATATTGATGTTCAAATTCTGTCTGGAGACATGCATGTATGAATGTGTACAGCAAAGTACTATATTTTACAGAAAGAAAAACTTCTGTAGATTATGTTGTTGTGTTGTCCACATACCTAAGAGTATTTATTAGTTTGTACTTCTAAACATAGCATTCACATCATGTAGACATTTTCCTCTTTTGTTGTTGTTTCTTGGATTGTGGAAGTGTAGTATATTGTTTTCATGAGAGTGCATGCAGATTAAAATACTGTCTTTTAGCAGTCTGCTCAGCTATGTGTTTTATATTCTGTATCTGGTATGTGGTCAGTTAGTCTGGGAAGTAGTCCATTAATAAACATTTGTTTTATTCTGTATCCTGTAGACGACAGGTGGAAATTTTCTTTCATTGGATGACACTGAAAGTGAACTTAAAAATCTTGGAAAAATGCCAAAGGAAAAAGCATTCCAACACTGAGAAGCATGTTGATGAAATGTGAACTCTGAGCCCAAATGTTAGCTTATTCTGACAGATTTACAAATGAGAAAGTAATTTAAACTCTTGAAGGTATTCTATTTTACATTAGGATAGTGAAGTATGTTCAATAACTGTTCATGTTCACAGTGAAGAATTCACATAAAATTTTCATGGAGCTGAAGCTTACTCATCCATTTTAATATGAGACGTATTACGGCAGGATGGCTTGTATGATTTACGACATTTGTCAGTTTTTCTGAAAAAAGTATGCCTTTGTGTATATCTTCTCTTCAGCTTCACTTTTTCATCCATACTTACAGAACCCGAAGGACTGCAGCAAAGCTAAGAAACTTGTGTGTAATATCAACAAAGGCTGTGGCTATGGTTGTCAACTTCATCATGTAGTCTACTGCTTCATGATTGCTTATGGCACTCAACGAACGCTTATTTTAGAGTCTCAGAATTGGCGCTATGCTACCGGTGGCTGGGAGACTGTATTTAGACCTGTGAGCGAGACATGTACTGACCGATCAGGTACCACCACTGGACACTGGTCAGGTAAGACTTAATAACTCAGACAATTTCTCCTTGTTCTTTGCAGCTTCATTCATGTAGAGCTATTTTGATACCTCTTTGTTTAATGATACGTGGAGTGTAATAACTATGACTGCAGTTGTATCAGAAAATCTTATTTTTGCATTGTCTTGGAAAAAATATTATCCTTATTAAGATATCTCTGCTTTGACAGAGATTTTGTTAATACAAAATTTTTGTATTTAAGTTATAATCCTTCAGCAGTCTGCCACGGTGTGATGTGCCAGATATGAATCCAGTTTTTATGGGAAGAGAGTATTAAATAGAGGCTGTTGTTGGTAAACTTTAAAACAATAAAGCATGTTTCAAATCTAAAGCAAAAGAAATTACGAAGAAAATGGTATCCAATAGTCATTCACGCAATGAGAAAATAATAAAATAATTGAAATAATTTTTAATGTAAACTGAACTGACTTGAAATTCAGGCTGTAAAAACAATGGTGATGTTAAATAACTTCTTATTTGTGGATCAGTAAGTTGATCCATTCTTATACTAGGCTGAACAATTTTGCTAGAATAACTAGATGGGCATTCATTTGGAGGATCAGATAGCTTTGTCTCAAACAGCATTTATTTTAATGGAATTCTCGCAGTCAGCATCTTGAAGAGTTATTAATATCTGCATAGTTTTATAGTTTTTTCTATATATTTAAATAATTTTTCAGGTATTTGTCAAAATTAAATAGGTATACAGCACAACTGGAAATGGCTGGCAATATGCTAACTTTTTGCTCTCAGTTTATCATAAATACTAGGAAGAATTTTTTTAAATCAAATTTCTGCACAGATAATTTTTATGTGAACAATTGTCAGCTTTTTAAAACAGATTTTATTGACTCTTCCTCTTTTGTGAGGCATACTTATTTTTTCCTAAGTCTGTAACTTGTATTACAGTGGGACTTTATAAATGTTACAGTAAGCGCAGGGAAGACACAGTTAATCAAGAAGAATACAACTGGCTGTTCTTACCTAAGACTAGGTAAATTTAGCAATATGTCTTCATTGATAAAAGGGGATTCTTGGAAAAAACAAAATTAAACATTTGGGTTATAGAGAGGTAGAATATTAGTTTTAATAATATTTTGTATTACTGACAATTATAGTCCACGTAATTATTGGATGAGTAGATAAGCTAACAATGGGTAGAGAATGGGCTAAGCTATAGACAAAAACAATTTAGAGTGGGAAACAATAAGGGAGATACTGTGCCGCTTTTCAGGATATAGCTGTTTTATTTATTAGCACTGATGCATATGGCACATTAATCTTATCCCAGAAAGGAGTTTTGGCTCAGTAACTCTCTGCTTAAGGACTGATACTATTTATTATTTACGTTAATTGTGCCTACAGACTCAAGAATTTCTTTCCAGTATGTCCTGAAGGATGTATTTGGCAGCAACAGCTGAGACTTGGATTTCATTGGGACATTTAAAAAATTTGTAGGGATTTTCAGTAGACGATTGTGTAGACTACACTCATCGATATGAGGCAGTGCACTGATGAGATGTTATTTTAGCATACAGTTTTCTCATTAGAACTACAGGAGCTACAGCATGACTTTTGCAGACCAGTACTATCCCAGTGCCACAGAGACAATACACAGTATGTCTGTTTGGACAGCAAGCAGAGCTTTTCAATTCTGGGTTGACAGAAACTGGTTTCTCCCCCACTGTCTTCATTCTTCCTCTTCTGTTCGCTACCTCTGATACACAGATTTTGGATGGTGTGTAAAGTTAGATGCAGGGAAGAATGGCCAGACCTCCAAGTCATCAGAGACTATACCCTGTAGCCTAGAGTCACAAGAAATATTCCCCTTCCTTCATTTCTGACAAGTACAGGGTTACACTGTGTTTCTGGAGAACTCTGAACTAGTCACTGGGCTTGGAAATTAACATCAATGCTGAGAGGAAAAGGAAAATACAGAAATTCATTCCCTCACTTCATCTGTCTTTCCATCTTTGAAATGGTGGAACATGTGGCCAGTCCCATAGCTACTTCCAGAGAGAGAAAAATTGTCTGTTCTGACAAGCGTCTTAGGTTTCAGTTGTCATTCCGTAGTGATTTTGCCTCTCTGTGTTTCTTGAATTATTTAAATCCTCAAGCCTATTATAGGCAGAACTGGTGCCTTTCAAGGATTTCTAGTTACACGTAGTGGAAGTGTCTGTGTCATCAACACTTGTACTACTTGGAATGATTGCTTTATAGTTATTTTACTTCCTACTGAAAATTCTTGGGAGTTGTGTTGTATGCTAGGGTTTGTTGGTTTTTTGAGAGCAGTGTGTTGTTTTGTCTGTTTCATATGTATTCTTTTTTTTTTCCTTCAGAGAATCAGTAACATTTCTTATGCATGTTGGATCCAATAGTACTTGAAAATCTTTGTTATCTGGCTAATCAGCAGTTTACTGAGGAATGGTGCTCTGGAGGATATGTAGAGGAAGGAGAAATGCCTACGCAGTGGACAATTCAGCCTAGGGTCTATTTGAGTTCAGTCATAACAAGGATTAAACTTTGCAGAAATTTCCTTGATCCAACACATTATATATGTGTGTCAACCAGATCTCACAGTTTCCACTGTTGTCTCTGGAAAAGGTTTTACAAATATTTTTCAACTTCAGAATATTCATCCAATTATCTGTTTGTAGCTTCTTAGAAAGTTCAGATGTGATAACTTTACTGAATTCAGAGGAAGGCAGGGCAGAGTAAAATGTTACAGGGAACTGTAGTTCAGGATAAAATGCAGAAACAGTACTTGCCTTTCCAAAGCAAGCACACATCATTAGTTAGGTAAGCTAGTCTTATGACTTCTGTGGACGGTAAGGAGCATTTCCAAGTCCTTGTTTTAGATACCACACCAAGACCAATGCTGATTAAAAGCAAGACCATGAATATAGCCTAGTTCCCTAGAGAGAGTGTGCAGTCTCCATCTTTGGAGGCTTTCAAGACTTGTCTGGCTGAAGCCCTGAGCAACCTGTTCTGATCTCATGGCTGAGCAATCTTGCCGAAGTTTGGAATAGATGTCTTCCTGACCTATAAACTATGTGATCTGGACAAACTTAGTAGTTGAGTTCAACTATAGGAAGTATTGATTATGACTAATAATAACCTGGTCTTTTATCCTAATGAACTGACACTATCCAGAGCCAGCTGCTTTAGAAGAGAGTGAAAGTACGAGAACAGCAGGCAAGTAAGGGGTAAGCTGTGTCAAACAAATTCCTACAAAGGGTTGGTTCCTCCTGTTTTGATTACACATATGAATCCTTATGCATGCAGATGAATCTTGAATCTTACATCTTTTTCCATGCGGTTGATAGTCAGAACACAGCAAAATCTTCAGTCTTTTCAATAGGACACTGCGTACCCAAGACATACGGAATCTTAAAGAATTTACCTATTAGAGTCTTAGAGATCTCCAATAAACTTTTTTGGATTTACCAAATCGGATTTACAGATTGGTGTGTAAACATACTTGCATGTTTACACATTGAAACAACATTTGCACATTGAAATAACATCTGTTCTTCAAAACTTCAAGATGCTACAAAACTTTTCTCTGAAAATTCTAGTGGGTTTTGTGAATGAGAATTTTTTCCAAAAATTAATTCTCAGAAATGGTTGATTATTTTCTAAAAATAAGTAGAAATGGAAAACTGACATTGAAAACGTTGTCTGAAGTTTTATTCACATTTGGCAAAGTTAGCAACTGAAACCACCATCTGGGCATGGTTCTGGGCAGACTGCTCTATGTGACCCCAGAATTCAGCTGCAGGTAGTTTTGTGAGCCTTGCATTTAGTGTAATAAGCTGTAAACCAGTGTTCTGGAGCACTTATGCACACCTGGCTTAAAAAGACTATATATTTTCATGAAAATCTGTTAAAATAGATCATGATTTCATGCAGTGTGGGTTCTTGCTGATGAAAGTACAAATAACATTTCCTTTTAGCTCCCTACAGTTTTTTTTAAATTAGTTTCTAGATCAGGATGAATAGTTTGAAGGATGAACGCATGAAATATCTTAATGTGATCAAATTTTTTAAAAATTAATGAATGCCACTAGTTCGAGTTTTAATGTTCTAGAGATAGAAGACATTCAGCTATGAAGCAACCTTTCTATGATTAACCTACTGGCTGGCCACACACACAGTAACTGTGTTAAATTCTCATATTCTGCAATGGCATGATCACTGAGGAAGAATGATTCTGACAATTGATCTCTTTTACTAGCTTCAGCGTGGCTTCAGGAGGAATCTTCACTGGATACTTAATTGCAGTAAATTTGAAAGACATTCTGGCTTGCTGAAGATTTTTATGTTTTTTTATGTCTTTCTAAATCATATAGATTTTGGTGTTTGGGGTTTTTTTTGGCCTTTTTTTTTTTTTTTTTATTCCCTGTACCTTTACAGGGACAAGTAAATCTGAAATTCTTAACTGTAATTAAAAATAGTTTGTCTGCAAAATCACACCTTCAATTTTCTTTTTCTTCTACAACTTCTGAAATCATCGTGGGATTTTCTAGATTTTCAAAATAAACATAAAAATGCATTGACATTTATAAATTTCCATTTCTCGTGAACAAAATGTTTCTCCTATGTAGTGTACTTACTACTCTGTGTTATATGGGCTTTTAATAAAAGTTTAATTATGTATCAAAAAATATTCATGCAAGTGAATACTTATAACAAGATATCAGTGTACATTACAGAAATAGGCCGAAAAGTTAGGAAATTATATAACCTTAAAGAATTACTTTCATGTAATTCGCAGACCTGCATAGAAAATAATTTAGTAAATTGTGCTTCATGACAAAATCATTTAAATCTATACATTTATTTTTCTTATTAATTAAATTGCCTCTGCTTGACACTTTTATTTTAGTTGTATTAGAGGCATAAAGTTTTGAGGTTTCTGAAGTCTATCTTCAGCAAAACAATTCAGGTAGTAATCTCTTCTACAATGATTTAAGAGGCTTGCATGAGCTGAGAATATATATATATATTTAAAATATTATTGGTCTAGTCCT